TACGGACAGAGGCTGCAGGACCCAGAGAGAGCCGGGACTGAGCAAGCCTGGCTCAGTCCCAGCTCGTGCCAGGTCCAGAAGCTACCCCCACTGGGTCTCTGTATTTTAAATGTAGTAAGAGCCAGGCAGGCAGCAGCCCGTCTCTTACTACATTTAAACTGCAAAGCCACAGCGGGATAGCTCCCAGACCCAGCGCAAGCCGGGACAGAGCGCTTTCCTTTATTGACTAATCGTGTAGTTGATAAAAATTGTATCAACTACGATTAGTGAAATACCTGCTTCTTACTATCCCTATTTCAGATCAGAAAACAGCATACTTTTTAGGAAGAAAAAATGTTACCAGTGATTATTTTACCCAGCTCTGAGCCTGGGGGACCTCTATCCCCTTTTGCCTTTCTGTGTTTTCTGGGGCAAAAGCCTAGTAGCTTGCAACCATCCATCACCATTCTAGGAGTCTGTGACAGATCCTTCCCTTTACTCAGTTCTTCATTCAGGAACACTTTTCTATAGAACTTCCATAACAATTAATGAAATATGAGGCTATCAGTTTTGTCTACTCACGCTAAAGGATTATATCTAGTGATCAGTCTCTCCCATACGTGCCTTCCTCTACCACTTTGCTGCAGGGGGTTTACCAAAACTGGCTAATCTTCACCTACAATTATTTTAGCAGAAAGCCAAAAACTGCTTCATGATAGAACATTAGAGATCTTCCCCTCCCCCCCCATCATAAAACCTCTGACAATACGTATTTTGTTTTTTCTTTAGGTACTGATACATAATACGTTACCAAACTCAGGCCCCAGCAGAAAAACATGCGACAATTCTATATTTGCATTTTGTATTTGACCCTGAAATCTTTTGGAACCTGTGAGATCATCCTTGGCTACAATGGTTACACTGAATATCAAGTAGGCAATATGAGCCTGATTATTTCTGTCCCGCATGGTGGAACATTGAACCCTGAAGACATCCCTGATCGAGATGCTGGTTGCTGGGATTCAAAAACGTTATCTTGTATTTTTTCTCATAATTGTCCCCTAGGAAGTATTCAAGACTTTCGGAAATGCAACGTGGGGACGAACCAGGACAGGAATACTATAGAGATTGCTCGGACTCTTGCTAAAGAAATCAGAAGCCTTAATGGTGGTTTCCTCCCATATCTTGTTATAAATCATCTCCAGAGGATCAAGATGGATGCCAACAGGGAAAAGGAAGAAGCTACCTTTGGAATTCCCCAAGCAGAAAAAGCCTGGAGAGACTTTATGACATTTATGAGATCAGCAAAATCACAGATGTTGGGAGGCCTTATTGTAGATATCCATGGACAAGCACACCCTGAGCAATGGATAGAACTAGGTTACACCATTTCAAAAGCATCACTCAACTCAGGGAAGTTTTCCGCATCAGGTTCTTCTATTCGCTATCTTGCAAGCCAGGTGCATGATGTTTCTTTTGGGACCTTGCTTAGGGGATCCAGAAGCTTGGGTAAATTTATTGAAGGCCAGAACAAAACATTTTACCCTTGTGTTCCTTCTCCAACAAACCCCAAGCCAAAAACTGGGAATTACTATAAAGGGGGCTATATTACGAAGACTTTTGGGTCTAGGTATACTGGCACTGTTGATGCCATTCAGATTGAGCTGCCCCAATGGGTAAGGGATGTCAAAGAATATCCGAAGTTTTGTAAAGCATTAGCAAGGGCTATAGTACATTTCTGGCAAACTAACTACTGTAGCCAGAGAAACCATACATTTCTAGGATGCTAAAGGAAACAGACTTGTGTCACCACGGCTACTTTGAAAAGTAAAACAATTGGTTTAATATACGGGGATATGGATTTCCATTTGGCTTTAACATGGAATTCTTTGATGATAAATTGATGGGACCGTGAAGGTGAAAGCTCTGAGCAGGAGGTCAGGGATTTTCAAACTCTGGGCCGTGGCTTGTAAGGGCAAGTCATTAACTGACTGAAAGACATTGTTTACCTGTACCTCCACAGATATGGGTGACTGCAGCGTCTGTTGGCTGCGGATTGCCATTCCCAGCCAATGGGAGCTGTGGGAAGAGGTATGGAATGGGATACCGTTTCCCACAGCTCCCATTGGCTGGGAACAGTGATCCACGGACAGCGCGAGCTACGATCGCACGTATTTGTGGAGATGCAAGTAAACAAAGTGTCTTGTGGCAAACTGCCCTTACAAGCCATGACCCAGAGTTTGGAAACCTCTTCTATAGGTGGCTCCCAGCCAGTGGAATCCTGCAGATCCTGCATCTAGCATCCCATTCCTCCCACACTCGAACCCCTTGCCCCAGGTCACAACCCCCTCCTGCACCCAAACTCCCTCCCAGAACCCACACCTCTTCTGCATCTTAATTACATGCCCAGAGCTTCCCTTCCTCCCCTGCACCCAATCTCTGTCCCAGATACCCCACGCCCTCCATTAATATTGTAGGAAAGTGCGGTCCTGACCACTTCACCAAATTCTTGGAATGGCCCCCCATCAAAAATGATTGCCCTTCCCTGGCACACACTGAGTAGTCTTGAGCACCCAGCAATTTCTTATGCATGTCACAAAATAAACCCCATCCAGCTTACAGTTTGAAATTGACAGAACAGTGGGAGTGATAAATTGAAAAGGTGGGGATGGAAGGGAAAGGGATTGTTACTCAGTGGGGCATGTACATGACTTGAAGTCTTCATTACCCCTATGTCCTGAAGTCTCCATTACCCCTTCTTTAAACCTGCCTAAGAGTAGATAGGCCTTGCAATGTAGACAATAAAGCAAATGAAAGCCAGTAGAGATCAAATACTGCTCTCAATTACATTGATGTAAACCCAGAATAATTCCATAGATTCACACTGAGCTAATTAAGGTCAACAAGCATATTATCAATCTTCATGTAGGGGAAATAAAGTTCAAGGATCTGGACAAAGCTTTCCCTCAGCATCACTACCATGCTCACATAGCTAAAACTATCTGAATAGTGTGTGATTTACCTGGTGGGACATACTAGCAGGGGTCTGTTTTTCAAAAGCGGATCTCTTTGGTGGGCACAGAGGAATTTTAGACTGTCAATAGTTCTGGTAATAGTGTTATCTTGAACAAAGAGAATTTTTGGTATTATTGTTATTCAGGTAGCTGTTCAGCAATGCTGTTAGTTAGCAGGGGCCAGGATTGACTGTTGCAATGTATTCACACGTCTCTGACTCTGTCGATGATGATAACCAAAAGGCTACTTGCATGTGTGCTCAATGATGTGTGCTGTATAGACTAGTGCACTTAGTCTGCACAGCAGACTCCAAGAGAGCCCCCCCAAAGACCACAAATCAGGTAAGGATCGAAGGCGCCAGGCCAGGTTTATTGTTAAGCGAATATATTTTCCAATTTGGTATTATGATTTAGCCCTTATGGCATTGCAGTTAGCACACACTTCTATTAGGACAATTATAGTTATTAACTGTATCATTATTGGTAGTGGGGTAAGTGTTTTGACATACTGGGATAAGCATTATTACAGTGTGTCCCACAAGATTATGTATATGTAAAACAAATGTGGAACAGTGACATTACAAATGAGGCCTTGATATATAATTGTCTTGTAATTAATTACTACTCAGTACTGTCCATTCCTGTTATGGGTTATCCTCACTATTGGGTGTCACCCTCTGGGATAAGCTTTGCTTGGCAGGAAACAGGAACAATTAACTTTTTGTTCCATTGGTTACAGGGCTCTGTGATACACTGGTAGTTAACATAGATCAAGTTGTTTCTTATGGACATTGTCTTTCAGATAACCTACTGAATGGACAGTAATCAATGTATCAAATATTTCTGTGTCAAGATTTAGCATTGGTATCCAGACACTGAACAAGACTGTTTTGAATGACATGTGTCTCAGTTAGGATGCAGTGTCACTGATCCAAATAATAACTGGTACTAACAGAGAATTAGTTTACACAATTTGTAGCTACTATGTAACTTAATTTTTGTTAACCAATTAGTTTTTCCCTTTTCTTCATGTTGCTTTCTGCCATCCTTGTGTTGATTTTCCCCCCTGTGTGTTGAGTAAACAGTTTAGCAAAGTTATGCACATTGTAAATGATATACAGGCAGTCCCCGACTTACGCGGATCCGACTTATGTCGGATCCGCACTTAGGAACGGGGCTTTCTCGCCCCGGAGGTCGGGGCGAGAAAGCCCCGTTCGTAAGCTGCTCCGGTGCCCCTGGTCTGCTGGAGA